CCATAACATTACTTTCGTTGCTACTTCGTCACTGTCAGTTTGCTACTGTGATGAATCGTCATGTGTCTATCTGACATGCAGGGTGTATTTTCATTGCTACAAATTGAACATCATGAAACATAATGAAAGCATAGTGATTAATCACAAAACAATATGTAATTATATATTGTGAAATATTTTTGTGTTTTCTGATGGTCTTAGGCAACCCCCACCCCCCAACCATACACACAGTGAACCGCTGCCCTTGTTCCACACAACTCTTGGGTGTGGACTCAGGCAGGGTCTGTGGGTTCCAGGGTGGGAGGTGATCTTAGGACCCTCGGGCTACAGAGCCAGGTAGGGTGAGTACGAAGCATGGGTGCTGGGCCCTACAGGGGACCCAGTTTTCCACGAGGCTTCCATGCCTGTGGGAAGCTTATGCCCAATGAAGCCATCATTCCCTTTCCTGTTTTTTTTTAGGGGGTTATCGGATTCCTAGCCCGCACCCCAACTCCCAGATGTCAACTTCCTTCCAATGCATGCCATTATCATCAACTTTGTGTTAACTGTGTGTACAGTTGTTTTTTTTTCTCGGCATAGTGGGGGACGGTCATTAATCTCAGTCTTGAGGAATAATCCAGACCCCCACAGCGCCATTGTCTTGGGGAACGAGTTGTTATCAGTTTACTCACCTGCCCCAAGCTTGGGGTGGGAAGTCTCCCGATAAGGCCTTTTCTTCCTCAAACCCCAGTTTAAAGCGCTTGTGGAGTTACTGGTCTTCAGCTGACAGGAATCCTGTGACGTTAGGAGAGGGGTAACAACCATTACCGCCCACAGGGGAAAATCTAAACCCAAGGCAGTTTACGCCTCAAGATGTTCTCTCTGGGAAACCCATAGGGACAGTTCTGCTGGTCCTTTTGGGTGGCCGTGAGTCAGAATGGACTTAGCAGCAGTGAGTGTGGGGTTCTGTATTTTCTATACAACTGGAGTGAACCAAAGAGGGAAATGACTGGTGTCATGGCTCTCGCAGGCACATACCTATAGAACAGGAACTTGTTAAGAGGACACCAGGATTCAGAACAACGAAACAAACCAAACTAAGTTAGCAAGAACTTACTTGTGTGGGTCAATTAAAAACAACAACAACAAATAACAATAACAACCCTATGCAACTCAACTGCCATCAAATCGATGTTGACCCATAGTGATCCTATGTCTCAGGATAGACTAATTCTGTGGGAACAGAAAGCCCACTCTTTCTCCCAAGGAGTGGCTGGTGGTTTCGAACGCTGGTCTTGTGGATTGCAGCCCCACGCTTTCCCTTAGCACATTCACTTATATCTCTCATCAGGGATTGGCATTTTTCCTTATATTGATCTTATACTCTCTTTTAAGATTTAATGTCTTATTTTGTTTTTGTGCTTATGTAAATAGTCTGTCTTAATTTCAGATCCAAATTGCTCATGGCTGGTATGGAGGAAAGCAATTGACTGTCACATATGGTATCCTACAACCCTGCCATATTGACTCACTCGTTCCCAGAGTGCTGTGTTTTGTTTTTTGGGTTAGGGTGGGAAGGCAATTGATTGAGGAGTTTCTACATAGATGGTTGTATCATCTGCAGATAAGGACAGTTCTACTTCTGCCTGCCTTGTCAGCTGACCTTTCGCTTTCCTGTCTAATTGGGTGAGCTAGAACTTCTGGTACGAGAAGAGCCCCAGTGGTGCAGCGATAGGTGGTTAAGGTACGAGGCTACTAACCGAAAGGTCTGCCTTTTGAACCCACTTACTGGAGAAAAATGCGGTGATTGCATCCACAGAGATTTACAGCCTATGGGGCACTCCCCTATCCTCTGTGGCCACTGTGAGTCTCGTGGTCACATGTTGGGTTGTGAACCACAAGGTCAGCATTTTGAACCCACCAGCCCCTCCTCTGGAGAGAGGTGAGGCTTTCTGCTCCCCTAAAGATGTATAGCAAAGAGGCAGTTCTACTCGATCCCGTAGAGTGTCTAGGGAGCCCTGGTGGCGTTAGCAGTTTGAAAAGACAGGGCTTTCTGTGCCTACAAATAATTACAGTCTCGGATACTCACGCTGGCAGTTCTGCCCCGTCTGATAGGGTCACTATGAGTTGGCATCGACTCAGTGGCCGTGGGGTGGGTTTTATAAACTGGCTATGAGTCGGAATCCACTCCATGTCAGTGAGTTTGAGCTTTGACTATGTGTGGTTAGAGGATGCATCACTCTTATTGCTGATATGAGGGAGAAAGCATCTGATTCCTCACAATTAAGTATGATATTGTAGTTAAGTGTTATTGAGTCGGTTACAATTAAAGTAGTGCTATATACAAGAGGGCAAAACACTGCCCAGTCTTACATCATGCTCACGGTTGTTATGTTTTTTTAACAGTTTTATTAGCACTTCATCCACGTGTCATACAATATAGCAATTCAGTCATATCAAGAAAAGTTATACAATTATCCCTGTATTCAAGTCCAGAACATTTTCTTCTTCCTTGTGCTCATTGTTATTCATGTAATTATCTCTTTTTCTAATTGTGGCAAAAATATACACAACAAAACAGTCTCCAGTTCCACAACTTCTACTACAGGTGTAATTCAGTTCCATTGATTATACTCTTTGTGTTGTACAACCATTCTTGAGATCCTTTTCCAAATCATTCCACCGCCATTGACATACACTCAGTGCCCCCTAAGTGACCCATGGTCACCATTGGTCAAGTTTGTTTTCTTTTTTTCAGTAGTTTCCTTGATGTCGTATTCACAGATCATATACTTCCGTGATTAAATGGCTTTTAAAATGAGTTATACAAAGCGGGTGCATGAGCAAAAGTGGTGAAGAAAGCTGATGGTGCCCGGCTATCAAAAGATATAGCGTCTGGGGTCTGAAAGCCTTGAAGATAAACAAGTGGCCATCTAGCTGAGAAGCAACAAAGCCCACATGGAAGAAGCACACCAGCCTGTGTGACCACGAGGTGTCGAAGGGATGAGGTATCAGCTATCAAAGAACAAAAAATCATATCATTGTGAATGAGGGGAAATGCGGAGTGGAGACCCAAAGCCCATCTGTAGGCAACTGGACATCCCCTTACAGAAGGGTCATGGGGAGGAGACAAGCCAATCAGGGTACAGTAAAGCACTGATGAAATATACAAATTTCCTCTAGTTCTTAAATGCTTCTTCCCCTGTGGGGTAAAGGGGGTTCCCCAACAAATCATCACTGGTCCTGTAGGCGCAATTGTACCGCAATAATAAGTAAAGATTATAGTGAAGTCGTAGAGAGCATGAGAGATAGAAGAGAGATTGAAGTAATGGAGTCAGACACAAGTCATGGTAGCGTGCCCACCTCAGCCCTGCTTGGTGGTCCTCGTGGGGAGACTCTGAGAGCAAGAGCAGGAGAGTCCCCACTTTATTGCTAACCAAGGGTTATAACTCCTTAGGGGCACGTGATTACAGGTAACCACAAGTCACAGGAAGGGGCAGTACAGTAGGCATAAGTGTAACAGGAAGGGGATGACCTCGGGGTGAGCACATAGGAATGGGAGGGCCTAAAGGTATACATGTGACAAGATGGGCAGACCTTAGGTTCATGATGGCTCCTAACCTTGGTCACCCTTGTATGGGCTTGACCTCTCTGAGGTCTCCTACAAGGAAACAGTCAACTACTATCCTTATCAGAAGTGAGTGGGTCCTACTTGTGGGATAAACAGTGGTGACTGCTTGCTCTAGATGGCTGATAACCCGTAGGGAGAATAACCCCTGACCTACTTCTGTTGACCTCCAAGTGTAGTCATTTGCCAGGTGTAGCAAGCAGCTAAGTTTGGGATACATTTAGGGGAGACAACTTAGGAGAAATCTTTGTTTCCCACCCCCTACCCCCCACTATCATGATCCCAATTCTACCTTACAAATTCAGCTAGACCAGAGGATGTATATTGGTACAGATAAGAGCTGGAAACAGGGAATCCAGGACAGATAAAACCCTCAGGACCAATAATGAGAGTAGCGATACCAGGAGGGTGAGGAAAAGGTGTGGGAGAAAGGGGAACCAATCACAAGGATGTACAT